CAGCACTGTATTTAAAATCACATATAGTACTATAATTATTTATGGAAAATGACTTTCATTGTTTATTGAACAAAATTTGTCCTTCGTTTTTGGGCAGCCAAGTCTAATTCCTCGTAGATAGGCAAATTCAGTTGTTGAGCACCCTGGCAGTTTTTCTAACCAACCCACAGCAGTCTCCAAATTCTTCATTGTCGAAGTCTTCAGCGTCGCCATGATCTGCAGGAGTCTCGGTATTGGTTACAGCGCTAAAAATCTCCTCATAATTCAGGATCTGGTAGCCGAGGTCAGTATTGCCGATCTCCAGCCACTCGATCGCATCGTTTTTTTCTCTCACAATCTTCAAAACCTGATATTGAGTCTAAAAGTCCGCTAACTTCTTCCAAGACTGACCTCGCTTCACCTTCTTCGCGTTCAGGTGGATTTTCTTGCCTTTCATCTTCTTTAGGCCACAGTATTCTTCATCCATTTTCCAAATTTCTTCAGCGTCAAGCTATCTCAGGCTCCTGCAAGCATGTCAACATAGTCCTTGATATTCAGTGCTTTCGTAAAAGCCACAACACTTTTCATTCTGTTGTGCCAGCAGCAGGCGGCGCTAAAGGCTTTTCTGTTCATTTGTTTTGTTTTCTCAGTTATTCCATGGACTGGAGCAATGCAGTTACGCTGGGAGGCAAGGACTGTAGCTCAAAATCGTCGTCAATAATCGGAAGCACTTTCCTCGTTTTGCCTTTCATTTTGCGGTGTTTCTTCACGCCTTGCACAAATTCATTCACATACCAGGCTTTGAAAATGTCAGCATTTATCCAGGAACTTATTTGCGATTTTTAACACACAGGCAGGCACTTAACATTGCTGAAACATCGGGGTCTTATACTTTTTCCAATAATCATTAACGGCAAAGAATTGATTCTACGTGCATTACTACAAACCACCGCAGTCATTCTCTCTTTACTCACTCTCTAACCTGGAGCTGATTGCTTTCGACGAGAAGTTAGTGACTTTGGTGGCAATACCCGACAGTTTACACAAGTTTCATCAGCGTTGTGTATGTCATTTGCATCCTTTTTCTCTAATCATATCCGGAAACTTTTTTGTATGTCCCTGCAGCGTTTAAATCACTTGATAATTTCCCCATGAATTTCGAGTTCTCTTATGCCATGTCTTAGTTTAAAATTTGTAGACAGCCGGAGCTAGCCTTGAAATCTGCCGGGCCGCCCAGTTTTTCATTGAATTGGAGGGCCTTTTCACAAACAAGAGGACCTGATAACGGTTCGCCCAAACTTCTTTGTGTAAACCGCGCATACATGGCATCTTCTAAAGCTGAAATATTGGCCGGTCGAAATATCTAACGTTTTTCAGATCCCTTCTGAGAGTCCAACTTTGATACACACGCCATTAAGCTGTCTTTCTTTCTCTTCAGATCACTGATGTTTGATGTTCCTACTCCATACATTCTTGCCAAAGATGCACCACGTTAACATGTTAACCCTTTGACATGTTGTCTAAAAGTTTAATTTTTTTTCTCAACTGCTGAAAAGTTATATTTTTTCTTGCCAGATCTTGCCAATGCCACTTCAGTCCAAAGAGTACAGATAAAAGTCCTATGTAGAGAAAGTCGGACCATACAGAAATATGATCAGAATAACAACCGACAAAATGCATAACCCTGTAACTGAAGTTAACAGCAATGGCAATCTCACTTTCATCGAAGTTACATCCTCCTGTCATTGGAGGGAGTTAATGACCAGTGAGTCAATTCGCTCCTCACACATCCCACTCGCTCGTGGCTACCTTAGATGGTTGAAACCAAATGCAAAACGGGGAGTAAGGAGGCATGCGAATGTGTTCACTTTAAATCACGATTCTTGCTTCGCAGAAAATTCTTTTCTGATATAGCAAACCGGATTTTCGACGTTCCAGATTACTGCCGTCAGGATTATCGACGCTTTAATGCACTTATATGATAGGGCTATTTCTAGAGCCCTAGTTTTCAAGAAATTAGTGGTGGGGCACTGAACTTCTTTTCCATGTCTGCATCCAAGACTGTACTTTTTAAAGACAGAATCGACAGCAGTTATGTGACAAGCACAGTCTGTCTTTTCTGGTTTCCTTTCCACTCATTCATCAGTGGAACTCATTTCTGAACCTCGGAAGGAAGAAAGGCGAATGAACCGGTGAAGCTGGAACCTATGATTTCTCAGAGCTGAGTCAGACACTCTACCGACCGAGTAACTCATATCTGAAACAATGTGTGGTAAATTCCTTGCTCAATGGAATTCGAGGTAAAGGCAAAAATCACCCGCCGCGGGAATCGGACTCGCACCTCTGGAGTTCGAGTTCGTAACCAACCTTTTATGTCACCTCAGCAATATGCAGAAACAGGTAGAGACGCCAGCAGAGACATGTAATTTTGATGCAACTGTGCAGCGGTCAACATCAAAACCGCGCCCGTTTCTTCCCATAATTCCTTGTTTGATTTGGACCCACTTTGTAGCGTTACAACGATAGCAAGCACATTAGTGCCTTACTACTTTCACCTATACGCGGACTTGAATTGGCTCCATAAAAGA